CCTTATTAGATTCCCCTAACTATAATAGCTTCATGCAAAATGCTCATTGGCGCTGAAAGAGGATCTATGTGGCACCAGCAGAGAACAAGCAGCTCCATGGCTCTCTGATGAGTGCTAACTGATGTGGAGTCCGCCACAGCCTCTTAAATACTTCAGCCCAAATAAGACGAGAAAGTAATTCACTTTCAATGGGGAAAAAAAAACTGATTTACAGCAGTCAGCAGGCTCTTCATCTCCTGCTCCCTGCTGCTCCTCCTCTGTAGTCATCCTTCCTTCAAAACACCCCAGGATTTTATGTTTAACCCAGCTAACATTTCAAAGGAAAGGCAACAAGTGCAGTCTCTGCTCTGACAGTCTGGGACGTGACTCAGTCCATAGAAGTACTGTGAAGCTAAGAAACTGGAGGGAAAGAGGCCAAGCTGGGCTCTATGACTCCATAACAGTGCCCCGGTCTCCCAGCTCCCCGTCACGGCAGCCTGCAACTGATATGGATCTGATCCTATGATTTGTCAGCCGGGGCGATAAAACTGCAGTAGGGCACTGGAAGAGCTGCTGGTAGGGGGGTGGCAGCGCCCTGATGAAGATGGATGTAAAGAGGAGCCTCATGAAAAGACACTAGCTGGGGATCTGACACCAGAGATGTTGCTCCACAGTCAGCAAGGGGCTATAGGGTTATCAGAGCAGGCAATTCTTATTGCTGTCTGTTTCTCTGTGGATGCACTGTGTGGCTATGGTGCTGTTATACAGTAATTTATATCAATCTGAGGTCAACTTTTTCCCCTGGAGCTGTACATCCAACCCTAGAACTATTAAGAAACATCGATTTTTGAGAGTATTATCAGGGATAACTCACTACCGAAGCTTCCAAAACATTTATGCTTGCAAAACACATTGTCTTAAACTTGTGGCATTGCTACCTAATAGCGAAGCCACTGAAGAACAGTCAGTTCAGTTCAGCCAGTTCACATGCTTGAAGTGACACTATCTTGCAGTTGCTTGTCCTTGTGTGAAGGCCAAGGGGGTGCAGAGGAAGCACTGCCCTGATGTGCTCTGAGCCTGCAGCAGATGATCCAGTGGTTGAGTGGCCCCTCTCCTGGCCTCTCTTTCACCCCATTGCCCTCTCCTCCAGTCCCACTAAATTGACATCTGCTGGATGGGTCTGCACAGCTGTGGAGGAGCAGGTCGTCAGCCCGGCCAAAGGTCTGTCCAAAGCCCAGCCTGGGAGAGCCCACTAGCAGAAAAACATCCCAGACTGGCCCAGCCAGATGAGAAGTCCTGCTAAAACAATCCCAGCTTCCTTGTTGCCCTGCAAAGGCATGTCCTGGGATGTTACAATCGTTGTTGAGAGACCTGCCAATGCATCTGGAAATAAAGGGGTCTTGCACAAGCTTTGGGTCAGTTCTGTAATTCCTTGCGCAACCCTTCTCTCTTGGATAAGTGAACTTCCGTACTTGTTCATTGAAGTCGGTCTAATGCACTGCAGTGGTATGAATGAAGTCAATGTATCTTTCCAACGATTCCATCAGGCAATTTGTAAGATGGCTCAGATGGAGTGAAACAGACCCAGTGACAAAACCACACATGACATGAGCAGGGAAAAAAGGGGGACTTCCACAATAGTCTCTATAGTCCACAGCTGGACCCTCCCCCTTCCCCAGGCCTTCAGCCGAACAACATTGAAGACCTATGGCTATTATTTACTTTGGTTAACCAGAGTCACTTTCTTAGAGTGACCTTTTAAGAAAATTAAGTTTGAGTTGACCTTTGGAGATTTTCAAAGTGTTCCAGAATTAGATTATGAGGAAAATTGCATTAACAAATTATATCCATGACTCGAATGCCTCAGCTTTTCACATGACATCCTTTAGCTCCATTATCCGCCAAGACAGGGAGGGGAGAGAAGTGTCCTTTTAGTTCTTCGCCTTGTCCAATCTTTTCTTCATGTTCTGTCTTCTCTTGTTTGCATCAGTTGCCATAAATACGCAAAACTTAACCCACCACCCTTTCGTGCTGGACCTGAAATGTTTGATTGACCTACAAATGTGGCTTGATAGTCATTATTAAACGAGAGGGAAGAGGGCAGGGCTACATTGCATGGCCATATGGCTTTCCACTGACTATTTAGAGGAGCTGTGACAGTGTGCCTGGGGGAAAGCACACCTGTACATGCTACTGTTGCTAACATGTGCAAAAGAACGCAGGAAAAGAGAATGAGATTCCTGTCGACAAGGTGGAGGTAAACAGGAAAATATGTTCTTTTTCCTTTCCATATTCTACCGTAATTCATAATCTTGGGACAAACTTGTCTGTTTGACCTTCTGTAAACACAGTGTTGGGTATTGCATCAACGAACTGGTCCTGAGTTCCTCTAAAAGATGCAGCAGATGACTTACCTGTGTCCCAGAATACAAATTTGTCTGGAAGTACAACTTAAAGTGTGAAATACTGTGTAAAACAACCATCAAATAAATCTCTCAGCATCCACCCACAAGTGGGGAAACAACCATTTAGACACATATGTCTTCTTCCTTGAGGACTGGGAGACAGAAAGAGACATATGTGGAATCCGTTACTGTGCTGGTGCATCTGTTTTGATAGGGATTGTGAACACAGGGAATGGGGATCCATGAAGGGCAGGGAAAAAGAGTGCTGGGAGCAAGGCGCCCTGGACCACCCTCTTTTTTATTTTTTTACAAGCTCTTGATTGATTAATGTTGTTGTGGGGGCACAGAGTCCCCAGAGGGTGAGAGAGATCACTGATATCTAGAGGGGTTTACGAGAGGCGGTCGGCTTTTAAGTGCTAGGAAGAGATCCCAGGCCAACGAGAGAGATGAGAAACCCATCAGGAATGCATTTTGTCTCTCTTTCTCTTTCTCTCTGTCTGTTTGACCCCCCCCCACCACCACCACCAACCCCACCCGTTCTCAGAGAACAGCTGCTGCTATAACTCTACTGTATTTGCTTTTTGGTGTTACATAAAACTGCAGCATGCAAAAGCTGTCAAAAAGCATCTTGCAGGCTTGGGTGCTCCCTGGACTGACATAGAGCAATGAATTCCCAGCGGCACCAGAGGTCAAAACAGCACGGATAAATATATAACGGACAAAGATGATAAACACAAGCCTTGAGAGCGAAGTAGAAAAGCAGATGAAAAAGATCTTGTGCATGGTAATATATCTGAAAGCATTTATGCATTTATGCAAATACGCTTGGCAGATGTCACCCTTCCACGATTATGTCAAGAACAAATTGACTGCTTTGATTCAAGCGCAGTTGGAAGACGATGAAAAACTATTCAAGGGAAATAAACATGTCTATGTAAATACATTATAGTCCACTGGAGGCATACTGAATTACGGATGCAAGAAGAAACGGCTGAAGTTACTTGTTTGATTTATTCACTGAGTTGTTTAAAGTTATCACTCAAAGTTTACTCATGAGGCAAGAATTGCAGAGTGACACTGTCAGTACACTATAAAGTGCAATGCGTTAGGGTATGATGGATTTTGATAATGAGACCTTTTGTTCCACTCTTGTTAATGATAAAGCATTAGAAAAGATGAGCTAGCAGTCCTGGCTTCACATCCCACTGACTGGGTACCTGGTTGTGCCCTTGGACAAGGTATCTAAGCCCCCCACTGCGCCCCAGACAGTGCTGCTGTGCTGGCTTGTTGTGCTGCCCCCAGATAGCAAAATGACAAATTTCCCTTGTAGTATCAATAAAGCATATAATATTGCATAAGCAAGGTCAATCTCACACCAGAATATACAACACTGCTAATGAAACGGTCAAGGAAAATGACTTTTAGTGTAATTGTTTATCTGAAAATGTGACCATGAGTCTATTTGCCTCGTCATGAATGTTAGAGTTCTTCACAGTTTACATCCATTGTCTCACTTAAATTAACTTAATAAGGTGTTGAATTGAGACTGAAGGCTGGCTGTACACAGTGAAACTTTTATGCAACTAGTTGCCGGTGAGTTGCCTGCAACATAATTCATGTGCAACTTGATAGTTACATCGAGCAATTAAAGTTGCATGCAACACTTTCCATTACCAGTGGAATGGGCAAATTAGCAGTTTGTATTTTTTGATACACTGTATCTATTGCTATACAATGTCATCCGTGAGGTGATTTACATATAAGCAACATTTTTATCATCTTTGTGTATTTTCCTATTGTCAGTGCCATTCACTTTTTTATTTGCTTCTATATGGAACCTTTTTGAAAGGGTATAGTTCCTAAGGGGTTCTTCCATTGTTACAAGCTTGAGATCATAACAATAGAAGAACGCTTTATGGTACTAGATAGTACCCTTTTCAAAAAAGTTCTATATAGAACCATTTACAGCACATTCTTCATCAGTCTGGTTCTGTATAGAACCATTTTACAATGCAAAGAACCTTTAATTATGCAAATGATTCTCCTTTTCAACCACCCAATAAACCATCTCCTGTTCTTTTTTTTCCCATTCATCCAGTAAAATAAATTGTTTGGAAGTATCTCATTCGTGATGTGATCACATGACACACTACTGGCGTTTTGATTGGCTGTTTCACAGAGTTAAGACACTTAAGGCACCTGCACTTGCATGAAAGTTTCCCTGTAAAGCCATTCTTGAGGAGATCTATTGACTAGGTTAAAAAACCTGTATACCTATAATAGGTTGAAAGCGACCCTGTACACCTGGGGGATTTTCTACTGGATCTGTTAGAGAAACTCTGTTAGTATGGAACTCTGATGAATAACAACCAGACTAAGAATGATTGCACCTCACAGCTGCATGAACCTGGCTAGAGAGCATGTTCTTGGGGAGACTTACTCACTCATCACAGGCTTTTCTTCAGGAGTGTATGGAAAAAAAATGGTGTCTGTGGTGAATATCTTCTGAACTGTGGCCCCAAACCATTTATTCTGAGCTCCACAGCTGTTGTTCTCTTCTGGCCTGTTGATGAGCCTACTTGAATGTATACACTGCTGCGTGTGTGCGTGTCTAACCTGTACGCGGGCCTCGGTGAGTTTGGTTCTCTGGGCCAACTCCTCACGGGTGTAGATGTCTGGGTAGTGCGTTCTTTCGAAGGCTTTCTCCAGCTCCTCCAGCTGCTCGGCGGTGAAGGTTGTGCGGCTGCGCCTCTGTTTTCTCTTCAGCGGCAGGTCTGGCTCCGACTCAACGTCCGAACCCTCGTCTGTACGGTTACCTGACATGTAAACAGAATAGTTAGAAGTTCCACCACAAAGAAAGCCAACATTTCCTTGTAATTTTAAGCACATTGATGTACCAATTTAAAAAGGTCTGACACTTATTTTCCTTGAATATAAAACTACTTTGTAGCTTTGGGTGACTTTTTGAAAAGCTGTATAACACATTGTAGGATTTTTGCAAAAGAGAATAGTGGGCTATAAACTGTTGCTACATCAACTGCCAGTGGGCAAAACCATCCTTCACAAACAACAGCATAATAACTCATCTCCCATCTCACATTTTTCTGATTTTGCAGTATTTCTCAGCCCTTAAAACTGTCAAAGCCTGTGTATAGGACTATATTTTGTTTCCTTCTCATGACAACATAACTTATGTACTGGTTTCAAAATGGTAACAAAGTATTTCATAGTAGTTACTGCATAATAATACGTTAATAACTAAATTATAATCCTGCAATTTTAGGGTTCATTTGATTTACATGAAATTTATAATGATTTATGCAAAATATAGCACAACATGGTGCATGACAGCAAAATACACAGCAAACACTAAGAAGCAAAGAATTTTAGGTAAAAAAAAAAAAAAATTCCAAAATTGTGAAAGACCCAGGGAGTGCAGTCACAGCAGTATTAATGTTCTGTTATCTTCACATAGAGCCCAGGCTACAGTTCGTATGGCTCTTATTCACATGAGTGGAGTCTTCAGAAGCATAATCCTGCCACTGAGCTCTGGAGGCCTGGGGACGATCGCTGGGAGGGTTAGGGTAATCTACGCAGGACACCTTGCCATTCTGCATCCCCCTTATTCTCTCTACACCGGCCTGAGGCTAGCCGCTAAGAGGCAAGTGCTTGAAATAAGTACGTATGATACTGTATTACTTCTGGGCCATTGAATTCCCCAGTCTTTGTGTTCGGAGCTAGGGTTCAAAACATGTTACAACAAAATTGTACATTACCTTTTTTTCCCTTCCTCCCCTAGACACACTGTCAAACACAAGTACAGATTGCAGTTGGCGGTTTTGCGTTTCAGCCTGGGATGTATTTGGGCTCTACAAAGCCAAGCTCCATTACGGTTCAGGCCAAGAGGAGCATTTGTGAGCAGAGATACGGAGTGCGCTTAGTTATACTACTGCAACACATTACCATGATAATTGCGTCTAAAATTGCATCATACTGTATTCCCGAGCCACCTCTGTGTATCTATTCACGGAGGCAGCAAGGCTTTTGAAAGGTCCTGTCACAAAAATCACACTCGCGCATTTGCTCGCTGTAAACGGTGGAGTGTTGACAAGTGGCGGAACACGGAAGCGTTGCTCCAGGCCCTGCGGTCTTGCATCATCCACGGGAAAGGAGAGAAAAGGCGAGGGAAGAAAGAAAGAAGGAGGGAGAGAAGAGAGAAAAAGAGAGAGAGAGAGAGACGGAGATGGAGACGGAGGGGCTCTGAGCACCTTCCCCCGCAATGCCACAGCTGCCATAGAGAAGGCAAATCTCCTTTAGAGACAGCATGTGCCCACTGCTGCCTGGCTGGACCACTTCAGCACAACATTTCCCCCCTTCTCTCAGCTTCTTCTAGCCAAAGCATGGAGCAGATCAGCTCTCAAACCCCCCCCCCATCTGCCAGGACCACTACTGCCACAGTCGCGGTGCCAACAAAGGAGGTGACGAGGGCCTATGTGGGTTTTTGTGTGTTTGTACATGTGTCTATCTGTTGGTCTATGCATGTAAGTATGTTTTGAGCATGCACCAAAATTCACAATAGGAAACCATGAAAAGAAAAACACAAAAAACAACTGTGTTAATAAAAAAAAAGAACAACCAAACTGGCTCGGCCTCAAGGCCGGCTCTGGAGTTTAATTAAACAAGGAATTAGGGGATTATATGGAGACTATCATTACAGGCCACTCGAGGAGTCTTCGCCGAACGTCTTTTTTGTCTCCCTCGAGCTCCAGCTCAATGATTCTCAACGGATTACATGCGGCCGCAGGACATGAGTCCGCATTCATTAAATCAATTCTTTTCGTCTTCCCATCTTTTAATAAAGATTGATTTTTCCAGCAGCCAGCCTGCACTCCAGTAAAAATACCCTTGAACATACAAAGTTGAATATGTACATATCCGGGAATATCCCTTTGTTGGTTTTCATGAGGATGCGGCACAGTGATTTGCCACTAATGCACCATGACAACACTTGAGACTGGCGCAGTGGTCTATAGATCACTTTCCAAAGTCACCTCGGCCTCCTGAGGGGGAAGGGAGCATGTGCTGCTGTGTGTTTTCTCTTTTTTTTTTTGGTTCCATGTTTTTTTGGGCGCCACATGATTCTGCACGAAGCCGGATTCCATCAGCTTAGACAGTCTACGCATCTCAATTTGCATTTTCCTAGACCTGGACCTTGCTTGTGGTTAATTACCAAGGTTAGAATCTTCCAGTCTGTTGTGCTTCACCTACTTACTTTACTTCATTCTTGTCCTTTACATCCAGAACCATGGTTGGTGCAACCGATGTTCAAAAGCGACGCGAAGGACTTAGTACAGCTTCCTCGGACGGTGTCACAAACCTTGATATCAGCAGCTCTGAGAAGTTTGGACAGGACTGAAGGTCAACAGGGCCCCCTGACAATGAGCAAAGGATTATGGTAATGAAACAGACGCTAGCGCTGATAGAGCAGAGAGAGAGGGGCATGATATGGGCCCCATCTCTATCCCAGCGAGATCCTCTGATTGGGATGCTGGGTTTTTATCATGGGGCCAGGATCCCCCAGATAGTCTAGAATGGATTATGGCACACAAGTAATATGGCTAAAGCCTACGTTCCCAGCTAGGTTGTGAGGGGAGCCTGGGGTGACATAGCTGCCCCATTTGTGGATAGCTGGAGCCGGAGCTTTAATCTGGAGTTAGATACCTCAGACTGCGACTTCTAGACATGTGGGTGGATCACACAAAGGCAAAGGAGAGATTATAAATACAGAGCCCAGGTAGACCCAATGCTACAATAATCCATCTAGGGATCTGTCTAGGGTTCACTTCTTTGAAATCTAAACTGTCTCAAGGCTTAAATCGAGCAGTTTGTAGTCTTGTGGTCTTTGAGTCTCCTTGCTTGTGTACAGACAAGAAAATGGTGATTAATTGTCACCTTCATTGAAACAAAATCCCTGCGGAAGATGAGGTCAATTCACAAACACGGTTCGCTGTTTTAAGACAATAAGGTACATCCTGATTAATCCTCCACATAATGACTTCGCTGTAATTCCATTTGAAGGTTCTGGGGATATTGATAAAGTGCTCAAGCCGATGCCTGCTCACTTATCAAGCAATTAAAGCCTAATTATGTTCCACTCAGTCGGTGCTATAGCCAGGATGTGTTTTCCTCCAGGGCCCAATGTGATCTTTAACTAAATATTGACATTAGGCAAAATTGAATTTGGGATGAATCAGGTGCAAAACAGATGTTCTGTCAGAGTTCTGGATCACGCCCCATTCAAAGCAAACCCTCATGGACTAATAAAACACGGAGATAGATAAACTAGCGCCAAAAACGAAGAATTGTTTTGTCAAATTGAGTAGTCTCATTAATTAAGAGCAGGCCCTCGGTTCCCTAGTGGGATCACTTAGAGCGCTAACGATGCATGAATCATTTAAAATGAATCTGTTTTGATTAGAGCAACACTATGAGGAAATGTTGCTTACAAGACCAAATGTGCAATTTTAAGAAAAAAGTCAGTTCTATACCTCATAATAGATTCTTTACTTCATAAAAAGCCAGGAAATGATTGTACCTGGCAGTGGATTTCTTGGGATCATAAGCAGCGTAGCAATTTTTATTGTACATAAAACATGAATGCTTTATTTATGGTAGTATAGTTGTCTACAGTGGAAAAACAGGGATAAAAAAGCCAGACTGTGACATTTTATTTTCTTTGCTTTTTATATCCTCAATGAGATTTTAGCCTCAACAGCCACAAACCTTAAGGAATTCAGACAAACTATTCAGGCTATTCATAACCTGTAGTCTACACACACAAGAACTGGGACCAGCATATTAGCATCAATGTTTTTGAAACTGCTAATGGAACACTAGCAGCCGACTAGGAACATTCACTGAATTACAGAAAATCATTACTTTTAATGCCCAACAACCCAGAAAAAAGCTATTGCTAACTCTGAGGAGATTACAATACTAGCAAAGATTGTTAGTGCTTTGGATCCTTTGCACATAATGACACACATAATGTACTTCCAGAAACGTTAACCATAGATTATCTTCGTCGTTGAAAGCTTCTCCACATGTTCGCTAAAAAAACATCAAGTCCATTGAGCTACACCACTGTCCTAGCAGAGCTCATGTTCAGGCCCCTGCATACTTTTTTTTCTGACTTCAGACAGATGGGATATCCATCACCCCTCTAAAACTCCTCCTCCACCCCTCCCTATTGTCTTTTTTATGCGTCTTTTTTCTTTTTCCCTCCTTCACTCTTACCCCATCTCTCTCGGGGCCTTTTCAGCTGAGGCCCTGAGTAAAGTGTGAGGTAATACAGCCTTGATCAACTCCACCTCGCAGCTGGACGGTCCATAAAAAGACCCAACCAGAGGTGTGGGTTATCTCCACAGTCGCGTTTATCCACAAGGGCTATCTTGCTAAGACTCTTGTAGACACTTAGGCAGTCATGTACAGGATGTAGCGATGGGTGTGCAAACTTTGCACCTAAACCAGTGAATGGGGGGGTCAGCTTTGTAACACAAAGGAGCTAATGCTGACTGTTTTAGCAGTTGGAATGAAGGCTAATTTGAACAGCTTGGGGAGTTTTATGTATCCAAACACTAAAAAGGGTGTCTGTTTGAATTGTTTTTTGTTTTTGTTTGTATTTATTATTATTACATGGGTTGTTGGAGCTAGAACTGAAAGTGCAGGTTCCGCCATCACCCGGAATCCTCCCGAATTAGTCAGGGGATAAAGGATGATAAAAAGCTTCCATGACATGGGGAGAGGGAGGTAGCGG